AGGGGAAATCAAGACAGGGTGAAAGGGCTAGAGGGACAAATAGTAATTAGTAATAGGGAGAAAATGCTAGAGGGACAAAAGGGAAATAGAGACAGGAAGAAAGTGCTAGAGAGACAAAGGGGAAATAGTGACAGGGTAAATGTGCTGGAGCAACGGAGGGTAATTAGAGATAGGAAGCAAGTGCTAGTGGGACAAAGTGGAAATAGAGGCAGGTAGAATGTGTTGGAAGGACAAAGGGGATATAGAGACTGGGAGATAGATCCAGATGGACAGATAGTAAATACAGACAAGTGCTAGAGGAACAAAGGGTAAATAAAGATATGGAGGACAAAGGGGAAAAAGAGAAGGGGGCAAGTGCCATAGGAACACATTTTTTATTATGATTGTAAAATATAATTCCTGCTGGTGGTGGTATTGTTATTAGTAATGGTAATTATGTCTCAGCATAGTGTTTCATTGCAAAAGTTTGGTAAAATGGCTTGCTTTTCATAACTACATATACTTACATTTTTGTAATCACCGTCAAACTAATAGAATGTAACTGTATCAATTATCATAAATATGAAGCTCAACAAGTATATTTGTCATGTCAGCATACATACTTTTTCAGAGAAGTTCAAAGATTTCTTTGGAAAGTAAAACTTTTTTTTTTTGCTAAACATACCAAGATTAGCAGAACAAACCGAACTACAAAGAGTTATTGGATTGAAAAGAAAACTGGTCTACACAAACTGCTTAGCATTCAGTACAGTTGCTTAGTTTCAGGACCACATGTTGCATTTAAAATAGTGTTGGGGATAGGTGTCTGTGACTCGAATTCTAAGATCAAAAGGACAGCATTTTGTCTTTCTTTCACTTTTTTTTTCCTATAACCTTGTAAGATCACTCTTTCAGTATTATTACAGCTATGGAGGGTATGAGTTGCTTATAGACTTTCACATTGCTGCTGTAGGCAATGCCAGACATTCCTTGTCTTAAAGAGGAGGAAAGTTAGCTGTAGGTTTTAGTTTCCAATCTGTCACAGATCTCTACTCCCATACATTGTTAATGCACACAACAGTATCAAGTGCTGCACAGTACAGTCAATATATATGTGTCCTGAAGAGTCATGTCAAAGGAGTACATTGCTTATGCCAAGACTTGTTTCCTCAAGTACTGCAAGTTACATGAAATGTAGAGAAGAGCCAATAGTTATCACTGGTGTACTTGTCTGTTCACACAGCATATCTTAAAGCCTAATTAGTTTTTTTTTCCTTCTTGATTAATTTAGTTGCAAGATGATTCAAGGTCCTGGGAAAGCGTGCAATTTATCCAAGGCTAATGATGTCTTGTGCCGTTTAGGGATAGCAGTGTTATAGACATGCTTAATTTCACTACTGTTATATTGATACACTGATACCTAATAGAGGGGACCCTTGGTCCCTGTGACCCTCCTCTGCTATTTCTGCTACTCTCCTATAGAACCTGGGCATGTACCAGGTGAAAAAATGTTTTGTTAAATTTCTTTTAAATCTACAATCACAATTCCTGCTTATGTGTTGTGCGTATTACGGGCTATTACAGCTGTCATACATGGTGATTGCGACACCCTGATAATCTGTGTGTTAATTAGTGTGCATTTGCTTTATTTTATTTTAATTTTTTTAATTTCAAATAAATACATTCTAAAACTTAGGGACTATATATTAGTCCTGTCACTGGGTGTATTTCACCAGGGACTGGAACGCTAGAAAGGGCAGAGGAAATACATACCTGCTTCAATATTGTCACTCCTTCACTGGCATGATAAGCAAGGTGTTGATCCCCCACCAAAGTCCAGGCCATTTTTCAGTATTCAGCGCTGCGGTATTTTGACGGACGTTTATTCAGTCATGCTACGCCGTACTAAAAGGAATTTGATAGCATTTATTATTATCCAATTTTTTTTGTAAAATATAAAACATGGGGTCATTTTGGGTAAATAGACACCAAACATGTCAAGCCTCAAAATTGTGCGCGCCTGCGAAACCACAAAAAACGACAATACCCAGAATTGGCCATAGGCGACGCTTTAAAAGCTATCAGTGATTAACGGCCTTCAAATTATTGCTCTCACTCCGACATTCATGGCGATATGTAACATGTGCGGCACAATTGTAGTTTTTGCGCGTTGGCGCACCCGACACATATTTACGTTTATATGTGCGTATACATGGGGGTGGGGGACAAACATTTTGGGTTTTTTTTTTTACATTTTGTGACTTTTCTTTTCTTTTTTTGTTCTTTTACACTTAGGGGGTCTATTCACTAAGCTGCCAAAGGATCTAGCCGCAGCTTCGGCTGATCCTTCGGCTAGCTTTGGCCCCAGGACCCTTTCGGTTCAGTAGAGCCGAAGGGCTGCTGTTCACTATTCACTATAGCCCGTACAGCTCCCGAAGTGGCCTGAGCTGCTCAGTCAAGCCGAAGGCATGTGCTTCGGCTCGACTGAGCCGCGGTGAAAGCCGGCCGACAGCCTGCTTCTGACAGCTGGGCGGAGCCAGCCGTCATCTCACGGCTGGCTCCGGCCACTTTCAGAGAGATCAGCGTCCCTGGTTACCAGCTAACCAGGGATGCTGTCATTACACACTGAGAGCGGCCTCTCCATGTTCATTCCTCCCCCGGACACTCTGGGAGTCTAATAGGCTCCTGGCCGCCTGGGAGAGAAACACTTTCTCCCAGAAAGGTTCACTCTGCTCGAGCAAACCTTTCCCTGCTTGTTTTTTTTTTTTTCCTTCTGACATCGGAGCCGTTGGCTGCCGTCAAGAAAAAAAAAAGAAATCACCATAGGAATGCATAGCTAGATTCCTATTGGCTATTTCAATTTGCAATAGCCAATAGCCAACTAGCTATTGCACCTGCCCACTGCTGCTGTCAATCAGCAGAGGAGGACCTGCAGTTCTCCATCAGGTCCCCATCTGGTGATTGACAGCAGCAGAGGGCATGTGCAATAGCTAGTTTGCTATTAGCTATTGCAAAGTGAAATAGCCAATAGGAATCTAGCTATGCATTCCTATGGTGTGTTCGTTTTTTTTTTGTTATTTCTTTTTTGTTACGGCAGCAGAACCGCCCGGCCAATAGATAACAGTTGGGCGGAGCTAGCTGTCACTGCTAGCTCTGCACAATCGTTTTCTAATCTTTTTTTTCTACTTTTTTAACTATTTTCTGCTCGGCCCCACAGAGGGAGCGGCATTTCGGCTATTTACTCACTGCTGTTAGGCATCCATGAGAATAGACCGAACAGCAGCGAGTAGCCTGCCAGAGGTTCGACTTAGCCGATCCAGATGTTGGATCGGCTGAGTCGAATTCCTTCTGCACTTCGGGTCGGCCGAACATGCTGAGCATGTTCG